CAGTGCTTGTGGGATGCAGTGGTCTTCAGGGTTCTCCCCGCATTATTATGTAGTTGTTCAGAAGTTGCTGCTACTGCATCTCTGTCTGCAGGGGGCCCTTGTCCCTGAGGTCCTGGCCTGGGTCCTGACTTCTGTAGTTTCTGTGAAGACGTAGCTGTCCTGTGGGCTTCTGTGTGTGCTGGCTGCGCCCTGAGCTTCCAGACAGCTGTCCATAACCTTTCTGTGAAGGTCAGGGCCCAGGGCCCCCCATAGCATAGCTGAGAGATCCCTTCCCAGTAGGGCTGTCCCAAGCCCCACTCCATGAGGCCAGGTTTCCTGGCCACTTTTATCGATAGCAGGTGGATCAATACTAGTAACCCCATCCAAGATTGAACTGTGAAAGAGAGGTTCCAGGGGTATCTCCCTCAGTGCCAGTTACTTAGTGATGTGTTATCCACGATGCAGCAGGTATGTGCAGGTATCTTGCTCTCTAGGCCTGTGGGGGTGTGTGTGTATGGGTGTGTGGGTGTGGGTGTGGGTGTGGGTGTGTTTGTGTATGGTGCTTGTGTGGGGGAGTGTTGGAGGTTCTATTTCATTTAAAAATGTATTCATTACCCTGGCCCCACAGATGCTTCCCTCCATACTTTTTATTTGCTCTATTTCCTCAGATTTATTTTGTCCTGCCCCATTGCCTCTCCTTCCCTGAACTCTTTCCTTTTCAATCTCAACTCATTCACTGCTGTTGCTTGTTTGCCCTTTTCCATGTATTTTTTCCTACTTAGGATTTTCCACTCTATCTTTGTGGTTCATGAGGACTTTGCCTCTTCTCCTGCCTCATTCCCTGACTTTCTCTAGTTAGATGCCAGTCCTAAATAGGTTTTCCTCATTTCAGGCCTCACCCCTCACCTTGTTTTTGGGGGGCTCCAGGGACCAATCTGGGGCTGAAAATGTTAGGAGGTGGCCTTGGTGCTGCCCCAGATCTGTCCAGCAGGGAGCAGTAAGTGATCTTGGTAGTATCCCTGGCTACTAAGCCCTTGGCAGGGGTGGTCCTTTCTACATTCCCATTCACTTAACAGCTCTTTTGGGATTGGGTATTTCATTCCATTTCTACCCACTCCCTCTCCTCTCCTCTCCTCTCCTCTCCTCTCCTCTGGTAGGTTTAATTTTATGCTTTCCCTGATTCCAGCTTCCTGCTTCCTGAGGACTCCCCGCTCCCCCCACCCCAAAGTTTGTCTGTGGTGTTATAGTGGTAACTGCAGTTCCTTCTCTGGAATGTAGACTGTATATGTTTAATAACTCACCTTCTCTATCCTTGCTCAAAATGTGGGATAACACGATGACTGTGACCCTGGTTGGAAATTAAACTTGTTTTATGCAGCTTTGGAGCAGACCTTCATCTTTGCTGTGCAGCAGCCGTGGGACAGTGGTTTCATGTGAGGGGAGTCCTTTTTCTGGTCCCTCTCTCCATAGTGCTCCTTCTTTCAGCAAAGGGGTAAAAGGCACACTTGATTGATAGAGAGTAAGGTTATGGAGGAACTTAGTCCCACTCACACTGGTTATTTCTTCCCATCGTAACCTGCGGGGGAGCCCAAATGAATTGGGCACCAGAGTGTGAGGGCTTTGTGACTTTCCTCCTCTAGTTCTAAGGTTTAAACCTGAAGTCAGCCACATTTCTCACCTGTTGGTAGACTGTAGGGACTTCACTGGCTGAAAGGCCCTGAACTTAGAGGGCCCCATGTGCCTCTACTCTCAGATCTCCTCAGCCTTGCACATGAGGTGCTTCTAGTTTGAACAGAGTCCCCTCACTAGTCTAGTTCTGGACTTTGGCAGTGAATAAACATGAAGGATAAACGTCTGGGCAGTGTAATGACCTTGATCCTTCTTATAACTAATGGCCCTGCATCAGCTCTACTTTAGGCGTGTGGTTTTTCATTGTCAGGATGCCAAGCTCATCCAGAGATCCCACAAATGTCTGAGAGGCCTCCATCCTCCATCACACTCCTACCACTATTCTGTTCCTCCCCTGCTACCAGTGTCTGGCTCCAGGCAAAGAAAGGGATGGTGCTACCTTTAGGGTGAGTGAGGTCTAGGTGAGCCAGGCAAGCCTTCCCCAGTCTTAATATTTTCTTAAGCTTTGAGGACAGAGGTCTTCCCAGCCTGCTGTTGTGGGAAAGGGATAGGATTTAGGCATATAATAAGTTTGAGAGCCCCAAGTACCAGTGTGAAGCATATAATTTGTATTCAGTTACTTCCCTGCTGCCTCCCCTGCCAATTTTCCTTTTTCAGCGCTTCTGTTATTAATAGGCCATCACCCTCAAGGACCAGTGCTTCCACCATATATAACTCTCAAACTACTCCAACCAGACATGTATTATCAATCCCAATGACTTTGAACATTACCCACCTACTCCTCAAGATAAGATGACACTTCCTTCCTTCCAGGCTTCTCCAAAGTTCTACTTGGTGACAGGCTGCTGATAAGAGTATCTTTCCCAAGTGTTTTCTTTCTTTCTTTTTTTTTTTTTGAGACGGAGTTTCGCTCTTGTTGCCCAGACTGGAGGGCAATGGCGCAATCTCAGCTCACCACAACCTCTGCCTCCCGGGTTCAAGCCATTCTCCTACTTCAGCCTCCTGAGCAGGTGGGATTACAGGCATGTGCCACCACACCTGGCTAATTTTGTATTGTATTTTTAATAGAGATGGGTTTCTCCATGTTAGTGAGACTGGTCTTGAACTCCCGACCTCAGGTGATCTGCCCAGCTGCGGCTCCCAAAGTGCTAGGATTACAGATGTGAGCCACCACACCCGGCCAGGTGTTTTATTTCTATATTAGCAAATAGATATCTTTCAGAGCTAACAACCTCTCATAATGATAATGGAGAGAACTTTAGCTGAATGGTGGGCCAGTGGGGGGTCTTTGGACCCCTGAACAACTTGGAGAAGAGGATGACCTATTCCCTTTTGTCCCTTAGTACTCAATTTAGAATGCTAGGAAGTTGAGGGGAGCCCTCTTGTGGCAGTTGCTGAAACCTTCCTGTTATTTTGAGGGGACGTGGGATGAAGAGGAGACTGAACCTGGGAGGTAAATGCTTAGCACCCAGCTCTTAGGACAAACAGCAACCCCATCTTCCAGAACATGCATAGCATCAGTCATGGACTGGCAGAAGACTTGGACCCAGGGTCCACTTCAGGATAATTTGGGCAAGGGAGCTTCCCAAATGAGCCTGTAGAAAGCCAGTGGAAGGGCTTAGGTTGGCTAAGGTGGGATGGAGGGCAAAACCCTCCCCCTTCATTCCAGAGTATAGGGGCAGTGGTAGAGAATGAATGTATGTGTGGGTTTCTCAGTCTTAAGGTATAAGGTCTGAAGGCTCTGGGAATTCACTGCACACACCACTTGCAGTTCAAGTGCCTAGGTTGGTTACAGCAGGAAGTTGACAAGTGTGTATTTAGTATATTTGATGTTTTTAGGCATCTGCTAAAAGTAGGCATCTGCTAAAAGTAGGTCAAACCACTGAACTCAGGGAGGAGTCTGGGGATCCATTTCTGGGATGCTGTGAAATCCTTTTGGGATATCTGTAGTATACCACGTTGGGTAGTGAGAGTTGGGGGACACCCCTTCCATTGCTGCTGCTTAGTGTAGGGAGTGGTGTCTTTGGGCAACAGTCATATTATTAAGAAAAGGTTTTTTTTTTTGAGACACAGTCTCTGTCACCCAGGCCGAAATGCAGTGGCATGATCTCCGCTCACTGCAACCTCTGCCTCCCAGGTTGAAGCGATTCTTGTGCCTCAGCCTTTCCTGAGTTGCTGGGATTATGAGTGCACACGACAACTCCCTGCTAATTTTTTTTTTTTTTTTTTTTTTTTGAGATGGAGTTTCACTCTTGCCCAAGCTGGAGTGCAATGGTGTGATCTCAGCTCACCACAACCTCTACCTCTCAATTTCAAGCAATTCTCCTGCCTCAGCCTCTGAGTAGCTGGGACTACAGGTATGTGCCACCATGCCCAGCTGATTTTTGTATTTTTAGTAGAGATGGGGTTTCACCATGTTGGCCAGGTTGGTCTTGAACTTGTGACCTCAAGTGATTCGCCCACCTTGGCCTCCCAAAGTGCTGGGATTATAGGCAGGAGCCACTGTGCCTGACAGAAAAGCTTCTTTCCCAGTTCTGAAGAGTGTGAAGGTAGGAGAACCAGAATCCAGTTCTCTCACTTTCCAACTCAGTAGCTAGAGAGAGAAGAGTATCATGCTGGTCACTGGGGAGTGATAGGATCAGGATGCCTGGCTTTAGGTTATAGACAGGAGATGGAGAATCTGTTCTTGTCTTTGCCAAATCTTGCATTGATGGGATGATACCTCCTTGGTTAGAATAGCCATAGGGGAAGAGTGGAGGAAGGAAGTAACTGCTTCATTCTTGGATGAATGTGTGCATAAACATACCTGAAAGAAAACATCTAGTCAGCTGGGGTTATGCATACCCTTGAAAATACACCACCAGGCCAGGCACGGTGGCTCACTTCTGTAATCTCAGCACTTTGGGAGGCTGATGTGGGAGGATAGCTTGAGCCCAGGAGTTTGAGATCAACCTGGGCAACGTGGTGAGGCCCCATCTCTATATGAAAAAAAAATATATATATATAAAATATATATATAATTATATATGATATATATGTACAATTATATGCACATATATATATATTTTTTTACTTTTATTTAAAAATATAGAGATGGGGTTTCACTGTGTTGCCCAGGCTGGTTTCAAACCCCTGGGCTCAAGCAGTCCTCCCACCCCAGCCTCCCAAAGTGCTGGAATTACAGGCGTGAGCCGTTGTGCCCAGCCAAAAAAAATGTTTTTAATTAGTTGGGCATGGTGGCATGTGCCTGTGATCCCAGCTACTCAGGAGGCTGAAGTAGGAGGATTGCTTGAGCCTGAGAGGTTGAGACTGCAGTGAGCCATGTTGCGCCACCGCACTGGTGACACAGCAAGACCTGTCTCAAAAAAAATCAAATTTTCAACCCAGATTTGTATATGCCGACTCAGGCTTTTACTTTATTAACAACCTGTTATAAATAAATACTTAAGAACATTTAAAGAGCAGTGTTCTGCTTACTCTTTGGCACATAATAGGCATGCAACCTTGATGAACAAATAGATGAATTAATAAACACCATTGTCTTTAATCAAGCTGGGCATGGTGGGTGCCCCATGAGTCTTGGAAGCTGGAGTACTGTGGTAGGGTTTCTTCTACACACTGACAGAGACACCTTTGAGGGTGGAGGCTTTTCTAGGAATGGTTCTGTGATTAAGTTGTATCTCCAGCCAGGGGTGGGTCAACTCTCCTACTTTTCCAGGAATCATGTCACCTTTCTCTGTTGTTTGGATTTCTTCTAACTTGATCCAAGGAAAAAACTCCTTCTCTGGTCCCTCCAGGGTGCAGGTGGGCTTGTGCTGCCTGTGGGTGGATATTGTCTTTAATAGTTTTGCCCTTTCCATTTTTACTACCACCCTCTCCTACTCTACTCCTCTTCCCCTTCAGGTTCCTCTTCCCCTTCAGAACAGAGCCTCAGACCTGGATAAGACAATAGCCTTCCACCTTCACGACACTGTTAGAGTCTGCTGATACATCAGTGCAGTATGCTGTGTCATCCTTTTGCTTAGAAACTTCCAATGTGTTCCCATTGCCTTAGTCTGACATTCAAGGTTCTTCATAACTAGCACTTAATTCCCTCTCCAACCATCTCGCTCTAGACTCTGGCCAAATCCCTTACTTTAGACAAATCAGTCCATTAATTTTTCCCAAACATCTGGCCCTCTGCCTTTACCTCCTTTCTCACTTGTTTAAAAATCCCACTCCAAGATCTAGCTCGTTTCACCTCCTCCACAAAGCTACCTGTGCCCCCTGTAACCACAAGGACTTTTATAGTTTTTCCCCACGTTGGCTCCTTTAGCTCTGTTAGCACAACTCATTTAACACCTCCCACTCATTCCCCTGTATCACTATATATCTTGTTTATCCATTTAATATTTAATATTAAAAATTATTTTCATAACCTGAGAAGTAACATCTGAGCAGGAAAAAATTTATTTTTATAACCAAAGTAATTTTTATTGTAAAAGATCCAAACAATACAAAAACATACAGAGCAACATATGGGACATTCCCCTCTACTACTCTTTCATGCCCAAACGTAACCATCCTCAGCTATTTGATGTGCATCCTTCTAGTTCCTTTTCTAAATGTATGTGCTGATACATGTTTGTGGAGGGGTTAAAATATAAATGGGCTCATATCGCATCTGTTATTCTGCTGCTTGCTTTTTTTTTACTTAGGGTATATATACATTTGTCTTAGATATTTTCTATATTAGTATAATTAGATCTTTTAATGCCTTCTCAGTATTTCATAGTATAATTTCTTCAAAATAAAACATACTGTCTAGAATCTATTATTTGGAGGGTATCGTGTAGCTAGTACTTAGCTCCAGACATGATTGCAAGCTTGACCTTGCCATCAGTTAGCTGGCTCTGGGGGAGATAGGAAGGGAGGAATGGGGCATACACAAATAACTGCAACAAAAGGAAAAATATAATAATATCCACAAGTGTATGCCTGGAGCTCCTAGCTAAGAGAATCAGGACTTCACAGAGGAAATGATATTCGAGCTTAGCCTGGAGGGAGCTTGATAGGTAAAAGAAGTGTATGTGTGCAGGCACAGAGATGGAAACAGAAAGATGTAGGTTTGTCTGATGCCAGACCACAGTCCTTGAGCAGGGAGTTTGGCTTAATTCACAAACATTTACTGAGCATTTATGTGTCAGACATTAATTATACTAGCAATGAAGATTTAGAAATGAGAAACATGAAGTTCCTGTCTCTAAAAGGGATTCAGTTTAATGGAATAAAAGCCAAGTTTGGAAAAGCAGATTAGGGCCGGATGACAAGCTTTCAGTTGTCATGTCAAGGAGTTGGAATTTTATTCACGTGGGCAATGTGAAGCCATGGTAGGCTTTTTAGTGGGCAGATGATGGGACTGAAACTGTAGATAGCAGCAGTGTATACAATGGTCCAAAGTAGGGAGAGGCTAGGGATGAGGGGCTTATTTTTTGAGACAAGGTCTCTGTCACCTAGGCTGGAGTGCGGTGGTGTGATCATGGCTTACTGCAGCCTTGATCTCCTGGGCACAAGTGATCCTCCCACCTTAGCCTCCTGAGTAGCTAAGACCACAGGAGCACACCACCATACCTAGCTAATTGTTAAATTATTTGTAGAGATAGGGTCTTCCCATGTTGCCCAGGCTGGTCTTGAGCTCCTGGCCTCAAGCAATCCTCAAGTGATCCTCCTGCCTCAGCCTCCCAAAAATGTTGGGATTACAGGTATGAGCCACCACGCCAAGACTTTTCTTAAACAAGATAGAAGTTTAAAGGCCAGATGCGGTGGCTCACGCGTGTAATCCCAGCACTTTGGGAGGCCTAGGCAGGCGAATCACGAGGTCAGGAGATCAAGGCCATTCTGGCTAACACGGTGAAACCCCATCTTCACTAAAAAGAAAAATACAAAAAATTAGCCGGGCGTGGTGGCGGGTGCCTGTAGTCCCAGCTACTTGGGAGGCTGAGGCAGGAGAATGGCGTGAACCCAGGGGGCGG